ATGGAAAAACATACCATGCTCATGGCTGGGAAGAATCAACATTGTTAAAATGTCCATACTACCCAAAGCAATCTACAGATTTAATGCAATCCCTATTAAAGCACCTCTGTCATACTTTAAAGATCTTGAAAAATTAGTACTTCATTTTATATGGAAACAGAAAAAACCTCGAATAGCAAATACATTATTCAGAAATAAGAACAAATCAGGAGGTATCACCTTACTAGACTTCAGGCTATACTATAAACCCATAGTGATCAAAACAGCATGGTACTGGCACAAAAACAGAGTGGTAGATTTATGGAACAGAATAGAGAACCAAGAGCTGAACTCAGCTACTTATCATCATTTGATCTTTGACAAGCCTATCAAAAACATTCAGTGGGGGAAAAACTCCATATTTAACACCCTGCCAGCTGGGTGAGCTGGCTGGCAACCTGTTGAAGACTGAAACTGGATCCTCACCTTTCACCATTAGCAAAAATTGATTCTCACTGGATAAAAGATTTAAACTTAAGACATGAAACTATAAAAATACTAGAAGAGAGTGCATGGAAAACACTTGAAGAAATTGGCCCAGGAGAATATTTTATGAGGAGGATCCCCTGGGCAACTGAAGCAACACCAAAAATACATTACTGGGATCTGATCAAACTAAAAAGCTTCTGTACAGCCAAGAACACAGTAAGTAAAGCAAACAGACAACCTTCAGAATGGGAGAAGGTTATGCAGGTTATGCTTCCAGCAAAGGTTTGATAACCAGAATTTACAGAGAACTCAAACTAATCAATAAGAAAAGAATAAATAACCCCATTTCTATCTGGGCAAGAGACTTGAACAGAAACTTCTCTGATGAAGACAGATGCATGGCCTACAAACACATGAAAAAATGCTCATCATCTTTAATCATTAGAGAAATGCAAATCAAAACTACTTTGAGATATCATCTAACTCCAGTAAGATTAGCCCACATCACAAAATCTCAAAACTACAGATGTTGGCATGGATGTGAAGAGAAGAGCACGCTTCTACACTGCTGGTGGGAATGCAAGCTAATACGACCTTTTTGGAAAGAAGTTTGGAGAACACTCAAGGAACTAAAAGTAGACCCACCATTCATTCCTGCAATTCCTCTATTATGTATATACCCAGATGATCAAAAATTATTTTATAACAAAGACATTTGCAGCAGAATGTTTATTGCAGCCCAATTCATAATAGCCAAGATATTGAAAGAGCCCAAGTGCCCAATGATCCATGAATGGATTAACCAATTGTGGTATATGTACACCATGGAATACTATGCAGCCATGAAAAAGATAGATAATTCACATCTTTTATGTTTACCTGGATGGAGCTGGAACATATTCTTCTTAGCAAAGTATCTC